TGCTATAAACATCTGTGTGCAGGTTTCATATGGACCTAAGTTTCAACTTCTTCAGGTAAATACCAAAAAGTGCGATTGTTGGATCCTATAAGAGTATGTATAGTTTTGTAAGAAACCACTAAACTGTTTTCCAAAGCATGTGTACCATTTTGCATTCCCACCAGCAATGAATGAGAGTCCCGTTTACTCTAGAACCTTGTCAGCATCTGGTGGTGTCAGTGTTCCAGATTTTGGCCATTCTAAGAGATGCATAATGGCATCACATTGTTGTTTTAATTTGCATTTCCCTAATGAGATGTGATCTGCAGCATCTTTCATATGCTTATTTTCCACCTCTACCTCTTCTTTTCTGAGGTGTCTGTTAAGATATTTGGCCCATTTTTAAACTGAGTTGTTTTGTTTTCTAATGGTTGAGTTTTAAGGGTTCTTTGTATATTTTAGATAACAGGCCTTTTTCATATGTGTCTTTTGCAAATATTTTCTCCTAGTCTGTGACTTGTCTTCTTAATCTCTTGACATTATTTATCCCAAAGCAGAAGTTTTTAATTTTAATAAATTCCAGCTTATTAATTATTTCTATCACGGGTTGAGGCCTTGGTGCTGTATCTAAAAAGTCATCATCATACTCAAGGTCATCTAGGTTTTCTCCTGTGTTACCTTCTAGGAGCCTTGTAGATTTACATTTTACACTTAGATTTGTGATCCACTGTAAGTTAATTTTTTTTTTGCACTCTCATAACGATCTTTATTGCACGTATTTTTAAGTACTTCTCTAAATGCATTATAGAATGTCTATCACATCTATTCTCTGAAATAACACTTATTTTGAGTTAATTTTTATGAAGAGTGTAAGGTCTATGTCCAGATTCATTTTTCTGGAAATGAATGTCTAGTTGTTCCAGTACCTTTTGCTATCTTTGTTCCATTGTGTTGCCTATGCACGCTCCTTTGTCAAAGATCAGTTAACTATATTTATGTAGGTCTATTTCTGGGCTCTCTATTCTGTTCCATTGACCTACTTGTCTATTCTTTTACCAATATCACACTATCCTGATTACTTAGGTTTATAGTAAGACTTGAAGTTGGGTAGTGTCAGTTCTCCAACTTCGTCTTTCTCTTTCAATATTGTGTTGGCTATTCTGGCATAATAGTTTTAAATGTATATTTTATATATTTAAAAACATTAGTATCTTACTATATACTGTTGATAGCGCTTTTCATGTTATATCAAGATTATTTCACCAAATCCTTAGGAATGATCCCCAAATTCCACATTATGGATATACTATCATATATTTAAACAACTTTAATTGTTGGATATTAAGTAGTTTTCAATTTTGCTGTTATAAATAAGAATATAATAAATATTCTTGTACATATATCTTTGTAGACATCTTTGATGATTTCCTATGACTAAAGTTTTTTTTTAGAATTAGCAGGAGAACTTTCACAAAATTTTGGAAAATTTATCAGAATTTTTGCTCATAAATGAACACTTATTTCCCCATATACTTATCACTACTACTAATTATAGTGATCAGGATCATAGTCGTAATAACAAAAACCTTTAATCTGCATTCTTTGATTACTAAGGAAGCCAAATATCCTTTTATGAATATTTTCTCACTTCCTCTCTCCCTGCCTGACTCCTTCTCTCCCTCCTTTCCTTCTTTTTTCCCTTCCCTTCCCTTTCCCTTTTTTCTCTTCCTTCCTTCTTTTTATTTTTCTATATTTTGGTAATGGTCATATTATGTCCTTGGTCATGGCCTTTTAATAGTACTGCAGTCAGTTTTTATAGTATTTAGTTCAGAATTTGAGGATCTATATTCTTAAATAAGTCTCTCTCTATCATCATCAGGTATAGTTTTCAGGAATATGCAAAGTTTTATATGAATTGGAAATCTTTTCATCTTTTTTTCTTCTAACATGACAAAATTTATTTGTGATTGACATTAGATCATCTTGGAAGTTCAAAGTAAAACTGGATCTTGAATTATCAGTTGGGATGACAACAAAAATTCAGATGTAATTTTTTGACAAAAAAATCCCATTTCTGCTATATCCATGGTCATCTTCTATTTTTTCTTAATCCAATTGAAATCACATTTTTCTGAGACAATTGTACATTTCTTCTTTCAAGATTTCAAGTGAAATAAAATTTATTCTCACAGAGTTCTACATATTAGATTATTTATTAAAAAATCCTTTTGTTTCATTAGTTATATGCTATTTTTCCCCCTAAATATTAGCCCTGAGCTAACATTTCTTGCCAATCTTCCTCTTCTTTTGCTTGAGGAAGATTAGCCCTGAGCTAACATCCATGCCAGTCTTCCTCCACTTGATATGTGAGTCACTGCCACAGCATGGCTGACGAGTGGTGTAGGTCCACGCCCAGGATCCAAACCCACAAACCTGGGGCACCGAAGCAGAGTGTGCCAAACTTAACCACTACACCATGGGGCTAACGCCCATATGCTCTTTTTTATTCATAACTTTGTGGAGTTTTTTCTCTATCTCTTTTGAAAACAGATTATAAAAGTTTACTCTAATTAGTCTTTCCAAAAGACCAATACTTCATTTCCAAGAGAGATGTCATTTATTTAATTTATAAATGGTCTTCGTCTTCTCATTTAAAGTGTTTGCTCTGGAATCCTTCATCTGTCACTTAATGTTGTGTGTACTTTGCCTTAGTATTTTATAAATTATTCTTGATCCAAAATATTCCTTCCATCATTTTACTAATAAAAATTCCATTTCACCTTATTTTAGAAGAGTGTGTATTGAACAACAGAGTTGCTCTTTGCTTTTGTTATCCAGTCTATAGGGATAATCAGAGTACTTATCTTGATTAAATGCTTCATCATAACTTATGTTTGGTCTTTTTTCTTCCATCATGTTTTATCTTTTTTCTATCTTTCACTCTTTGAGCTAAGGTTCCTTATTTTGTTTGGTTTTCTCTAATAATTTTTGGAAGTTATATCTATTTTTTCATTTCATGTGTGGTTAGCTCAAACTTTTCAACTACACTAGAAACTTATTTCTCTAATAATTAGTGTCAGTAGTGGAAAAATATTAACTGTTGTCTATGTAAAAGGAAGAAAAAATATATTTTTCCTATACTTCTTTGCTTTTGGTGCTATTTTCTTGGATTTTAGACCTACTGCATTTGTTACTTAGTTGCTTGCTTGGTATTCTCTTCTTTACTAGATTAGCGTTTCCAAAACTTACCTGATGATAGGAATCACATTGGGCTTTGGCTGCAAATTCAGATTCCTTGGTCCCATCCAAACCTACTGAATCATACTAGCTAAGACTGGGCCTGGGAATTAGTATTTTCAATGTGCACTTGAGGTGCACTTTTGAGTTATTTTTTTACGAAGATATGAGTTTGCTTTCAACTTTTTTATTCAATGGATCCTTTTTTCCACAAATTGCAATTTTGTTCAATTCAAGAGTCTTTTCTTTTCTTTTTTAGGAAGATTAGCCCTGAGCTAACATCTGCTGCCAATCCTCCTCTTTTTGCTGAGGAAGGCTAGCCCTGAGCTAACATCCATGCCCATCTTCCTCTACTTTATATGTGGAATGCCTACCACAGCATGGTTTGCCAAGTGGTGCCATGTCTGCACCCAGGATCTGAACCGGTGAACCCTGGGCCACTGAAGCAGAATGTGCAAACTTAACTGCTGTGCCACTGGGCCGGCCCCTCGAGTATTTCCTATGTTATCTATTTATCTATCGTTACTGCTACCTGTGGTTTTTTTTCATTCTTTGCTGTGAATGCTAATTATCTGTAGAATGCATCCTCAGTCTTTTGTGGAAATTAATAAAAGAAACCTCCACTAAATTGGAGTCTGGATGGCCTAGCATGCACAACTCAAATTGCAGTTCTTTGCTGATCCCAAATAAACCCATTTTTGCTGAAATAACCGGATGTCTATTTGTTAAGATCCCCAACGGGGATCCAGAGAAGACCCCTGATAACTTTAAGGCTGGTGAGCCAACATGGGCAGTACCCACAACAGAGTCCATTGAGCTCGCTGCTTTTCTTGCTGACCCTGGATTTTAGGGTAAGTCTTTCTCCTGGATCTGGGCTTCTGCTCTCTTTGCATTTGGAACATTTCCAGACTCTACTCGGGATCTATTTTGAGACTTTATTCTTTTCTGGTTTAGGCCTTGTTTTGGCTGCAAGTACTCAGTTGGCACTTTGACCTGACTCTTTGAATCAGGCTATTCCATTGAAACTGGCTGCTCAGCTTTCAGTCAGATTCATCTGGAATCAGACTGTTTCACTGGTTGGTACTGTATCATTCAGCCGACAGCCTGATTCCTTTGGAACTGGGCTGTTCTATCAGAACGGTGCCTGTTTAGCCTCTGGCCTGACTCCTTCAGGATTAGGCTGCTCCCTTAGAATTATGTTGGTATTAAGCCTGCAGGCTGTTTGAGCTGTTCAAGATATTTCAGCTGCAAGCTGTTTAAGCTACTTAAGCTGTTTAGGTTATTTGAAAATTATTCTTTTACTCTAGAGAAGAACTTCTGAGAAATGGGATCCCAGTCATCTAAATGTTCTGAGGGAAACCCTACTTTCCAGATGGACCCTAGGAGGGCTCACTTTTAGGAACTCTGGGCCCCCTACATGTGCATTTTTAATTAAGTGGGCCAAACTGACCAAAAGGACTTTGGAGTCACGACGACCATTGTGAGGAACTTTTGATCTCCCCAAACTAGCTTCCCTTAAAACCAAATTAGAAGACCATGGCTCTAAAATTAAGCAAAACGAGTGGTATATTTATTTTAATTGGTACCCGTACCCTTCTAAATGTGCACAAAACTCTAAATTCACCTCATTAAAATTGCCTCAAGATATCATGTCTAAATTAATTAATACAACTAAAAAACAGAAAAGGGCTTCTGAAGCCTGGTGTTTCCCGCTTCCTTCTTCTTTGCCTTATCCGCCATCTTGTTTGTCTTCCCAGACTCCTTTGTCTCAGGCTCCGCCCCCTCAGCCATCTTGCGCCCAGGCTCTGCCCCCACATCACTGTTCTCTTTTCCCCTCTGTGAAAACCTGCCTCTTTAAAATCAGACCCTCTGAGTGTTCGAATGTTAAAGCCGTAAGTACTATTTCTATGTTAACTGGAGCAAATAAACAGCTAAAAGGAAAAATTCAAATAGCAATTACCCTAGGCTTCTGATACAAGACAAGTATACCACAAAAGTCCTTTCTGTTTCTGAGGGAACTTGCTTTCTATTCCTGTTGTTTGTTGAAGCTTCTTGGTAAATCACCCATCCTGTTCAAAGAGGGAGAAACATGTGATTCTTGGTGTTTTGGAACAGCTGTTGGAAAACAGGGCCCCTTGTAATTAAAACATTTTAGGACAAAATAGGTTCCACCTGGCTTATGGGCCAGGATCTTGTGCCTTTCTGGAAAAATGGCTGAACTTTTAGATAATTTGGGATTTTAGTGGCCGTCTGGAGGACCTCTGTTTTGAATACGTCCACCTGAAGGGGCATCCTTAAAAGAGGGAATTTCAAACTTCTTGGCAGACAGTGGAATGCGATTTTTGATTGGTACACAGAAGCTTCTAAAAGACAAACTGACTCCAAAAACAGCTCCAAAAGCATCCTTATAGCATGCCAATAAAAACATCTTTAGTAGAAAAACTTGGGCCATCTGAGCAAATGACCTTAACTTAGTCTTTCTGCCAGAAACGGAATCTGGATACAATACTGAATCTTCTTGGTATTAAGAGTTAAGTTTTGCTTATGACCATGTAACTTTCTGTATTTGTCTTTCAAATCTTTTATTGTTACTTTGGTCAAGTAGATATAATGTTATCATTTGTAATTCTAGTTACTATCTAAAAAAGTATGTCACAAAAATAATCAAATTTCTTTGTCAATCGATTCTTTTACTCTGATGCTTTTACAAACGTTTTATCTTCAAAGCGATCTATGGAAAAAACTTTGACAGGTACTCTGGAATACATGCTTTTGATAACTTTAAGATTATAACACTGAACTGAATAAGAATTTCTAAACTCTAATGGAAAATTAATTGCTTTAATGTTTTGTTTTTCAAATGTAAAAGACCCCTTTTTCTCCTCTCCTTTAAGCTATCTATATTTTACAGCAATTTGGTAAAGCAACAAAGACCAAAGACTGAATTTATCTTTTACTCCCTACCTAATCTGTCCAGAATTTGGAAACTCTTAAGTATTACTTTCATGACAATATATGTATTCACATGAATTCGATCATAATCTGTTCTCCTTATAACAGGGTACAATTGGAAATATTGGCTAATATTACCAAAGCTTTGATTAAAATATCATATTTGAGAAAGATATACCTAGACTCAGATATGACCAGAAAACTTTAAGGAATTTCTTGGAAAATTGGCCTAGTACCTTGCTTACAAGCTTCCAGCAAAGCAATCTTAAAAGAAAAAAAAGAAGGGCCAGCCTGGTGGTGCAGCAATTAAGTTCTTGTGCTCCACTTCGGTGGCCTGGGGTTCACCAGTTCAGATTCCAGACGTGTACCTACACAGTGTTTATCACGCCATGCTGTGGCAGGCATTCCAAATATAAAATAGAGGAAGGTGGGCATAGAAGTTAGAGCCAATCTTCCTCAGCAAAAAAAGAGGAGGATTGGTGGCAGATGTTAGCTCAAAAGAGAAAGAGCTTACATGGTCAATCACTATTCTTGCTGCATTTATGTAAATAATCTGGCCAAATTTAGTAGAAGCAAATTAATTTACTATGATTATATTTAATAAAATTGGGGGTAATTGTGGAGAGAGAAATTATGTTTGCACCTTTGTAGAAAATAAATTCTAGCCCTATTAATTGTTTTTAAGGTTTTGTTATATACCTTCAAGCTGGACTGGATTCTAAATTCTTCCAGTTTCCTTAATGTCTGGCGATGACTCTCCAAACTAATGTTTCCCATTTTTAATGCCCTTGAAATCTCCTTGGGAGATTTCAAGGACTATACTAGGTCCTCGTCACTCCCCGGATGGCAGCCAAACTTCAGTGACTCAAGCCTTTGGTACACATCTCACAGCTAAAGAAGGCTCCACCTGACGTATGGTCCTGAACAAAGCTGGAGACATCCAAATCAAATTGACTAGGAAGAGAAGCAGCCACACCTGAGGCAGAAAGCTTTCCCAAGGTGACTGGACCAGGCCTGTATACCCTTTTCTCACTGTTGCTTTTTACTTTATTTTCTCCCTCTCTTTCTTGGTAGAACAATGCTCTCGTCTACATTCCCCAACCTCTTTTAAAAGGGGGAAACCTCTCTGATTGCTAGATTTGCCATCAGAAACCTCAGTATGTCCTAGACAGTAAAGACCCTATAGTTCACTTTATAAGCAATTTCAATGGGCTTCCAAATGCTGTCTGTTTAAATTGTTCCACAGGCCCTTGTTATAGAGTCAAGGTGCTAAGACCACCTAAACTTGTACCTTCTTTCAATTTAATCCAGCTGGGGAGGGAAAATAAGATCTTTTGAATAAGTGTATGAAAAATTCTGTGGGGCCACTTGTGTAACCCCGGCCATCTGTAAATTTCTTGACATATCCATATATTTAGGCAACCTCTCAGTATGTAACATAATATCTGAGCCTTTGTTAGATAATGTTAATGTCTCTGTGACAATGAATAAGTCCATAGATACCCCGACTTATGCAGAAGCCTCATGTACACCCCCTGGTTACACCTTCATATATGGAAGTTTTGGTAATGACCTTTATGCTTGGGTAACTCATTGCCTTGACAGCTGGAGAATACAAGGACAGTGTGTCTTTGCTGTATTCACTGTCCTACTCTCTCTACATAACCAAACAGAGGCCTCTTATTGGTCAGTCCCATTGAACTTCTATAAATGTTTTAAAATGAGAACTTCCAGGAGGTGTGCGTGTTTCTGGGTTTGCCTCCGTGGGAAGAGCTCTCGTCCCTTGGATTGGAGTGAGTACCAATGAACAAGTGATCAGGAATCTCTCCTTCACACCAGAAGAGTTGGCCAATTCCACAGCCAAAGAAATTTCAGCTTAAATGATCACTTAATGATCAAGGTAGTTTTGGATAACTGTATATAGCCCTTGATTATCTACTTGCTGAGCAAGGAGGTGTCTGCGCAGTGGCAAACACCTCCTGTTGAACATGGAACAATGCCTCTTGGGTAGTAGAAAGCCTTGGAGAAATAGAGTTTACATGGCAAGAGCCTGAGAGTTCCCTCTCCTAACTTTCCTTGCTACTCATATGTGACCTAAATGGTTTTCAAACACTATGCACTTTTCTTCCAATGTGGGACACAACAACCAGGAAAGGTCCTAACTGGCACTGAGGGACAAAACCATTATGCACAGAGAGCTGACTCTTGATCAGCAATGCTTTCAGAGAAAGATCTTGATCAAAAAGGGAAAATGTGGAAGTTAATAAAAGAAATCTCAAAATTGGAGTTGGGAAGGCCTTAGGGGGAGCTCTCACACGTCGTCAGTTACTCCAAACAGGAAGAGATGTACACATGCATCTCTGGAAGAAAATGCAGCTACTTTATTCCTGAAGGAAGGTTTCTCTCCCTGCCTGGCAAGAGTCCAGCCAATGAGAAGCCATCAGCACCCTGAACTTACTTTCCTCTAATGAACTTTTGTTTAGAACAGCCCCTCCCTACTCCTCCTTTTGCTCTATAGAAGCAAGCCCCACCCTTTGTCTCTCTGGATTTGCCTGTGGTTCAACATAGCATGCACATCCCAAATTGCAGTTCTTTGCTGATCCCAGATAAGCCCATTTTTTGCTGAAGAAATAACTAGCAATCTATTTGTTTAAAGTCAACACCTTGTATGAAAACTTTCACCTTTTAGCCATTTGAGGATTTTTACTTTTTTAATTAATTTTTTATTGAGGTAAAATTGGTTTATAACATTATATAAATTTCAGGTGTACATTATTATATTTTTATTTCTGTGTAGACTATATCCTGTTCACCACCCAAAATCTAATTGCCATCTGTCACCGTACACACATACCCCTTTACCCTTTTCACTCTTGCCCCTGCCTCCTTCCCCTCTGGTAACCACCAGTCTATTCACTGTCTCTATATGTTTGTTTGTCCTTGTTGTTTTTTGCTTTTCCACATATGAGTGAAATCATATGGTATTTGGCTTTCCCTGGCTGACTTATTTAGCTTACACTAATGCCCTTAAGGTCCATCCATGTTGCCACAAATAGCAAGATTTCTTTTTCTTTATGGCTGAGTAGTATTCCATTGTATGTATATATATGTGTGTATATATATATATATATATATATATATACCACATCTTCTTTGTCCACTCATCCATTGATGGGCAGTTAGGTTGTTTCCAAGCCTTAGCTATTGTGAATAATGCTGCAATGAACATTAGGGTGCATATATCTTTTCAAATTAGTGTTTTTGTATTCTTTGGATAAATACCTAGAAGCGGAATAGCTGGATCATAGGGTAATTCTATTATTAATGTTTGAGGAATCTCCATACTGTTTTCCACAGTGGCTCTGCCAGTTTACATTCCCACTAGCAATGTATGAGAGTTCCCTTTTCTCCATATCCTCTCCAACACTTGTTACTTCTTATCTTTTTATAGTAGTCATTCTGACAGACATGAGGTGATATCTCGTAGTTCTGATTTGCATTTCCCTAATAATTAGTGATGTTGAACATCTTTTCATGTGCCTGTTGGCCAATCTGTATATCTTCTTTGGAAAAATGTCTGTTCAGATTCTCCTGGGGTAGAGCTTAGTGATAGAGCATTTGACTGCAGATTCTCTGCCCATTTTTTAATTGGATTGTTTGGTTTTTTGTTGTTGAGTTGTATGAGTTCTTTACATATTTTTAATATTAACCCCTTATCAGATATATGACTTGCAAATATCTTCTCCCAATTGTTAGATTGCCTTTTCATTTTGTTGATGGATTTCCTCTGCTGTGCAGAAGGTTTTCAGTTTGATGTAGTCCTATTTGTTTATTTTTCTTTTGTTTCCCTTGCCTGAGAAGACATGATATTCAAGGATACATTTTAGGATTCTTTGTTCTATGTCTGTGAAAAATGTCATTGGTATTTTGATAGGGACTGCAGTGAATCTGTAGACTGCTTTATGAAGTATGAACATTTTAACTGAACGTTTTTACTTTTAATTGAAAAAGTTTTCATCCACCATGGTCCATATTAGTGATTTGGATTTCTGCCATTATAATTTGTTCTCCTGAATCTGATGCAGAGTTTAATTCTTAGTTAACTTCCTTTGTTCTTTGTGACATTTACAATTTTTTAAGAATTTTATGTCAATTTTACTAGAGATGTTTTTATTTTATTTTGCTTGATTTTATTTTATGTATGTCCTGTTTTCTATGCTCAATCATTCTCAAAAATATGTTCTTTCCTTAAGGGCACCTAATAATTGCAAAATCACTCAACTTTGGGCTTTTGTTTAGTTTTTGTTTTGTTTTGTTGGACTATTCCTGGATGATTAAAGCTCTGTCCAAATGGATTTGTCTACAGCAGGGTGAACGAAATCTCTTTGGGTCTTCACTCAGTTTACCTGGGGGCTACTTAACTCCTATTGTTTAATTTAGGGCCTCCTTGTGCAGTGTTTCTCAGACTTTAACATGCATACAAATCACTAGGGATCTTGTTAAATGGCAGATTATGAGTCAGTAGAGTGGGTGGAGCCTCAGATTCTGCTTTCTGATGAGATCTCATGAGGTCGTGAGGTCTGCTACTGCTCACCTAAGGCCCACACTTTGAGTAGCAGGGTCTTAGTGATCTGCTTTTTAGTGCTTTGGACTTACAGATGTGAAATGGAATCAACTAATACAGTCTTCTGAAGATCCTTCATTAAGTCTAACTCTCGCTTCTCCAAATTGGGAGCATGTATGAGATAATGAAGTCTTTTCTGTGTTTTTGATGGGTGAAAAAAAAGCTTCTGCTATCCTGTTTCTTTCCACTTGTAGGCACTACACCAACAAAGTGGCCTTATGGTGGCCAGCTTTCAAACAAAGCTGATTTATGTTAGCTACTGAGAGCAAGTAGTGTGTTAAGCCTGTGACCTGCCTTTGCCACCAGTTTTTATTGCTCCAGATAAGGAACTGATGGTGAGATTCTCCTGTGGTCTCCTCTGCATATTCCCTGTGGTAGAATATTCTCAGGAGTGAATATTGCTTAACCTTGTGTTCCTTTGAATGCAGTGCCTTTGTGCTCTATGTTGCAGATTCTTTACCTTTTCTGGACTATGGATGACATCTATCTCTGATTAAAGCATTGACGATTAGTTTTCCTCATTGTATTTTGTTGATCATTCCGTTGAGGTCCTGTGGAGGGGAGTAGAAAAACTGAGGAGACAGCCACTAGAGAAACAGATACAACCCTTTGCTCTCTGCATCATCTCATGCAGAAGTCTTACAAATTCTACTGTTTTTATTTTCAACATGCAAAAAACCGTATTGATTTTATGATTATAAAATATTTCTTTATTATAATATTTTCAGACAATAAGTAAATGTACGATGACAAAAGGGACTAAAATTTCCCCTAATCTGACCACAAAGAAGTATCCACTAATAAAATTTTGATGTTTAGATAGCCAGAATTTTTTTCTAAACATACATGGTACAGCTTTTTCATTTAAAAGGAATATTACATATGTTGTTTAATAAACAATTTTTGTAGCTAATAAATATTTGTCAATTTTGTGCCAAGAAATATACCTTTATGGTATCATTTTAAATAACTGAATAATATTTCATGGATGTACTATAATTTAACTGATAGCCTATTATGGGTATTTGGTTTTTTATTTCCAATTTTGCGCTTTATAAACAATACTATGATGAACATCTTTGTACAAGTTATCATGATTTGATATATATTAACAAACTTCCTTCTAAAAATTTTACTAATTTGAAATCTTGACAGCAATGCTAACGTACTCTATTGACTGTTATCCTTTTCATCACTGATCATCTGAGAGACAAAAACCAAAGTTATTTGTTTTTAATTTATATTTTTGTCAATATGTTTTCATATAGTAATTTATTTATTTATGCATTTTTGGTGAGCAAGATTGGTCCTGAACTAACATCTGTTGCCAATATTCCTCCTTTTGCTTGAGAAAGATCGTCCATGAGCTAACATC